AGCAGAACAAAATCTTGAAAGCCACATAATATTTCATTTGTGAGAACTAATTTAAGAAGTATAGGGAAATGGGGCACCTGGGTGGCTCAGTCGGTTAAGCATCCGACTTTGGCTCAGGTCATGATCTCACAGTTTGTGGGTTTGAGCCCCGCATCGGGCTCTGTGCTGACAGCTCAGAGCCTGGAGCCTGTTTCAGATTCTGTATTTCCCTCTCACTCTGACCCTCCCTGCTCACGCTGTCTTTCTCTCTCTCTCTCTCAGAAATAAATAAATTAAAAAAAAAAAAAGAAGTATAGGGAAACTATGAAAATCTCAGGCCTTCAATGGAATATATAGTAGCTGAAAGGATTGGAAGAAATAAAAAAGGCCTTCAAAATTTTAAAAGAAAAATGTAGAGTTTTCTCAACAACTAGATATTATCTAGGAACAGAGATTATAAGGAATTATAAGGAAGATCTGCCCATATATACTTCAAAATGACTTGTTTGAGTGGAGTCTAGTAAGGAGAGAGTATAACCACTGACTGCCATTTAAATCACTCTTCAAAAAATTAACAATAGAACTCCTCTAGGACCCAGCAATAGCACCACTAGGAATTTACCCAAGGGATACAGAAGTGTTGATGCATAGGAGCACATGTACCCAAATGTTCATAGCAGCACTTTCAACAATAGCCAAATCATGGAAAGAGCCTAAACGTCCATCAACTGATGAATGGATCAAGAAGATGTGGTTTATCTGTACAATGGAATACTACATGGCAATGAGAAAGAAGGAAATGTGGCCATTTGTAGCAACGTGGATGGAACTAGAGGGTGTTATGCTAAGTGAAATAAGTCAGACAGAGAAGGACAGATACCATATGTTTTCACTCATAAGTGGAACAGGAGAAACTTAACAGAGGACCATGTGGGAGGGGAAGGGGAAAAAATAGTTGGGGAGAGGGAAGGGGCAAACCATGTGAGACTTTTAAATACTGAGAACAAACTGAGGGCTGATGGGGGTGGGGGAGAGGGGTAGGGAGGTTGATGGGCATGGAGGAGGGCACTTGTTGGAATGAGCACTGGGTGTTATATAGAAACCAACTTGACAATAAAGTATAAAAGAAAAAAAAAATCACTCCTGATCCAATGCTACATTGTAGGTCTCCTGGAAACCCAATATCGCCTTACAGGATGAAAATGAATTGTAGACATATAAACACTGACTCATTTATTAAGAAATAGAGAGTGAGTGAGTATAGACTAGAAGTGCTGAAGTTAGTAAAATTATTCCATGAGACAAGTTATTTTCAGTTATAAGAAATCATAAACATATGTAATCCATAAAATACATAAATATTATATTTATATATATAAATTTTATATATTTATATATAAATATATAAAAATTATATTTTTATAATTTTTCAGTACTGGGAAATGACAATGATGTTTTAATGATTGGATAATTCCTCACAAACCTAAATTTGACTCAAGGTTTGATCTCTTATACCTGACACACTCTTCCACATGCATCTCATTGTAATTCACTTTTTCATGGATTCAGGCTCCAGCCTTCTTTCTCAATATCTAATTGCTATCAATATTAACATTTCTATATGTTAAACCCCCTTTAGCTATTTGTCAACCAGTTATTAAAATTTTGTCCCAGTTTTTCTTGGGTTTTTGCATCACTAAGATACATTCAGCTGTAAGCATTAGAAGCCTAATAAACAGAGGCATAACTGATACAGATTTTTTTTTATATTTACTTAATAAGAGGTCTAAAGGTTAATTATGTCAGGGTTAGTTTATCACTCAATAGTATTAGAAGAAATGAAGCTCTTTTCACATTCTAACTGGACCATATACATAGCTGTTGAGGTTTTAATCACTAATTCTTTTCTACTCATGATGAGAAGACAGCTGATGTAATTTTAGACACTTACCAGGTACAAGGATGAAAAAAAGGAAAAGCAATGGTGCCAATGAAAAATTCTCTAGCACCTGTGTGTTAAAATTTGGCAAAGGCTGTCCTGAAGTTTTCTGTTAGATACCTCTTTACATTTCATTGACCATAAGTAGGCCAAATAATAATCCCTAACTCTCAAGGATGTCAAGAAAAAAACTACCCTCATGAAAATTGCTACATTAGTTTTGAACAGAAACAGACTTCAATAAGCTCAGGCAGAAAGAGAGTATGTATTCATCTTGTTTTGATGAATTCTAAAGATCATGTCTCTATTTTTTTCCACAAAGTTAAATTCATTTTCTTCATTCTAAAAGTCTGCAATTCCAAATAATATGCCAATGAACTTATACAATATCTTTGTTGTTTATGCATTCTGAAAAAGTATTTCTTAGCTCTTCAGAATTCAACATGGTAGCCTAAGGAAAATACCTATATGAAGCCAATTGGAGTAAGATGATCTCCTTCCCAAACTGTCACTATTTGGCTCAGAAGTAGGTTTTACCATACCACTTATCAATACAATACCTCTGGTTTCTGGAGGTGCCTGAAAATTTTACAATTCAAATGACCATGAAAATACATGATTCAGATGGTTGCCTACAATTTCAGTGAGTTCTGACATCTGAAATATACCAGAGAAACCCTAACTTTCTCTTGCACCAAGAAATGCCTCTAAAATTCAAGAAACATAATTTACTATATCAGTTTAAAATATCAAGATAAGGATAACATTTGTTTCATTGTCTTGAAAAATCAGTGCACTGAAGTTATCTGGTACAACATACGCAGCATGTGTTGGCAATATAAATGCAAGAAAAATTAGATTGTACATGTTCATTAAATGCCATATTGTAAAATAATGCAATAAAATGTTACCATTTTATATATGTGTTAAAAATATAGATAGCATACCACCATTTCTTTTAATCAATTAACTTTACCAAGTTTTGCTTAAAAAGTAAGATAATCAGGTAGTGAGTGGTTTAGAGATAATCTTCATCACTTCACAATTTTTTTCTAAGATCAGCCCTCTTCTAAATGTATTTGGTAAAGAGATGAGGAAACTTGGATTGTAACATAGAGAACTTACATTATTGTCAGTGACTGTTTCATTTTGTACAATTACTAAATTGAACAATTTTAAATGGATCATTTTACAATTATAGATGATTAATTTAGAGTCTGAATCAGTATAATTAGTGAGCTGTAAAGCTCAAATGCCACAGTCTAGAATTCATAGTTAGTTAATATCTGGCCCCTCAAAGCTTTTCATTAGTTTTCTTAATGTCTACAGTTTCCATTCTTTAGTCAAAATATGTCAGTCACAGCACTTTATTTTTGTGCTTATATGTTTCATACCTCTTTAGATTTGGTCCCAGATCCCCAAATAATTGCCTTAGTTCAGCAACACTTTTATAAAAATTCTTTTAAAAAAACTCAACTATTACTAGCCTCTACATACTACTTTCATTACAAATTGTTTTACCTTTTACCTACCTTCCTGTTCTTATCTTGCCATCTTTTATTTATTTATAGCAATCCTGTAAAGCCAAACCATCGGATGGCCTGCCTAGATTTTGATTACATTTTCTTTCTTTTTTTTTTTTAATGTTTTATTTATTTCTAGGAGANTTTTATTTAGTTCTGAGAGACAGAGAGAGAGAGAGAGACAGCGCGAGCAGGGGAGGGTCAGAGAGAGAGGGAGTCACAGACTGAAACAGGCTCCAGGCTCCGAGCTGGCAGTCAGCACAGAGCCCAACGCGGGGCTCGAACCCACGAACCGCGAGATCATGACCCAAGCGAAAGTCGGACGCTTAACCGACTAAGCCACCCAGGCGTCCCAGATTTTGATTACACTTTCAATCCACAAATTAATCAGACAAAAATAGAGGGACCCATTTCACAAGTAAAGTCATCTAAGATATTCAAGGAATTCTTTTCTTTATTCCAGCCTTGGGATTCAGGTCTCTCAACTTAAAAGATACCAAAGCTAATGTGAATGGAAGTTCACTCCAATTGGCAATGTTAAATTAAGGTTCTCTCTCTCCCAAGAGGCCCCAGAAGCATTGTAGTGTCATTGGGTAGAAATCTTCCCTAGAAATTTGGACCAATCAGATGAAATCATGAGGTCATAATTTTCCATCCAAGATGTCAGAAAAACACACCACAGGATTCCCTTTCCTATTCTCACCATTTTTACTGTTCTTTTCTATAACCATTTTCTTTATCCTCATTATAACTTCAATCTTCTATGATGAAACTTAAATTATATTATTTACTACTCCTTTTCCCCCATCTCCTTCTCCTCTCACCCAAGTGTTCTTTTAATAGCAGCCATCCCCTGTCTCCCTCCAAGGATCCCAGAATCTTTGGCATTCTTTCATTCAACTTGTCTCACTATCTTATAATACTATTTCTGATTGCTGATTAGGTATTACTTTTCCTTTGTAAGCCTTAGTTTCCCCCAAATCCCTAAACATGTTTCCAATTTCTCTACATTTTTTGTGTTAACCTAGGGTACTTAGCTTTTCTCTGTAGATTTCAAAAGGAATATCCTTCAATTTCAATAACTTTCAACAGAGCAATCTATGCTTCTCCCTTAACATAACAAAGGATCCCTTCAATGGGCCTAAGCTTTTGCAGTAATGACTAATTGTCTTCCAATACCTACTCTTTTATTGTAGAAAGTCAGAGTACACATCTCTTGCCTTGTTCTATGTATTTAATAGCATCTAAAAGATCCTGATGATCCCCTGAGCATAATTAACCTGGAACATTTAGAACTGTCCATCCTGCAAACAAAAATCTGAGCATTCTCTTCCCAATTGGATGGGACAATGTCTCCATCAAAAGAGCTCATATGGCATCTCAAATACAAGTCTATGTGTAATTATCCACATGAGCATTGCATAGCCTCTGAGAAAACATATTTGATTTGTGGCAACAGTGCCTGCAGGTGTCTGCCTGTTACCTGGATTGCAATCTGCTATCTAGTTAATCTAATCAGATCTTACTTAATCTTTATAAAAACTGACTTCTTTTCTTACCTTAACTGCTTCATTGCCTCCGGTTAAGTTTTCCAGACATGAGATGATCCTAAAGGGGAAAAAAATGTGTTATACCTATAAGCTTAGGAGCAAAATTATAGTTCCATAAGGATAATATGGGCTTCTTGTACTTACCAGGTACTCAAGAAGCTTTAGAACAAGAGTCTGAGACAGAATAAACCTATAATGCTTAACTACTACAACATTTCATGTTTGAGCAACTTTTGTGACTGCAGCTCTAGAAAATAACCAGGGTTATGAACAATCTTACTGAAGGTTACATCACTGCTAGAGAACTATAGGAGCTCTGGTGAGTGGTTCTCTAAAATGGTGTAGCTTGAGATATGGTCATGGCTTCTTACGGTGGTATCAGAAGTGACCACTTTAGTAGATACATTACCTGAAACTTTTCTGATGTCTATGCTATGATCAAAAATATTCAGACTTTAAACCAGGCAATTTATTAGATCTCTACCATTGTCTTCATCCTATCATCTAAAGACATTTTCCAAACTTCTAGAAGATTCTAACCTAGCCCCCTTCAAATCTCAAATTTTGTTTTTATTCCTACATTCAACCTTTAATAATTATTTTACTAGCCCTTCAAGGTCAACAAGGAATATGAAGGTCAGTCTAATACTAAAAACCATTTTGCAAATAATTTCACAATGACTTAGATTCTAACCATAACAATGGTTAAGGACAGGTTTTGTTTGCTTAAAACAACAAGGGGTAGAAGCCTGGCCAAATGTTCAAAATTATCTATTACTTACCCATTGACTTGACTTGTCCAAACGTTGGTCGGGCTTTTCTCCTCCTCTCAGGCCCCTACTTTTTGGCTCCCCACCAATATTAAGCAAGCACTAAAGCAGAGACCATCTTCCCTTAGCAGCTCTTTCCAATAATGAACCAACTTCCAAATGACCACATTTCTTGTTGAAGTATCCTGCTTTTTCCTTCTGCTCACACTACCACTATCCTTTTCTCCAACAAAGTTTCCGTTAGCTCTACTATCCCTTCTCTATAAAAGACAAGCTTTTTCCTGTTTGATTTCAAGACACTGTAGTTCCTGAGTTTGAAGCATTCTCCCTATGACAATATTCTTTTTGAATAAAGTTTCCCTTTCCTTAAGTCAGGATTCATTTTTAAATGACACCAGTGAGCTTAGAAGTAGTAGTGCAATGTTGATTACAGCCTTTAAGACACTGATCAGAGAATTTAGCTAGGCTATGATTAGACTCTTGACACATGAAAATATAAGATAATAAGTGTGTGTTGTTTTAAGCCACTATGCTTGTAGTATTTGGTACATAGCTATAGAAGAGCAATAAATGTAGAAATTCACAACATAAACTGGAGTCTTAGCATACAATATAAACTCCTTTTTTTTTTCAATAGAAAAGCTACCTTAAGCATTTAATATATTCAATGTAATTATTTTCTTCTGTGTTTTACTTTATGTTAACTAGAAAAGTTCTTTATTCTAATTTACCATAGTTAATACAATGGTCTATACTGATTCAAATCAAATTTATATTCAAAAAGCTTAATTATAACATTTAAAATAAAGTCTTCTGGGAAATGTCTTGAGAGTAATAGCATTTCATGACCAAGACATTTCTCATCCACATACATGAGAAACCATTTTCATATATACCTAGAATTGATATTACACACATTATTTGGATATAGAAGTATTTCCTGTAATACATTATATCTACAAATGAAAAAAAAATGTTCTGTTGGTTAAACAGTAATATTCTTAGTATATGTGCTGCCAAAGTGAGCACAAGAACAGTAATATTCAATTAAAGTCAATATTAGCAGACATGATCTCCAATTCATTTTCATTATTAGAACCATTTCAGGCAGATAAGGAAATAGGGATAAGATTTGGTAGAGAGTGTAATGTGAGGACATAGTACAAAGATAGTTTTGACATTCAATAGAGTAAATATTTTTATAAGACAATAACACTGAATTTTGGAGATACAGTTTTGACCAGTTGTACAGTAATTGTGACAGATCATTACTGTGGTGATTAATGGAAGTTTGTTTAATCTTTTTTTTTTTTAAATATTTTATTTATTTCTAAGAGAGAGAGAGAGAGCGTGAGCGTGAGGAGGGTCAGAGAGAGAGGGAGTCACAGACTGAAACAGGCTCCAGGCTCTGAGCTGGCAGTCAGCACAGAGCCCGACGCAGGGCTCGAACCCACGAACCGCGAGATCATGACCTAAGCGAAAGTCGGACGCTTAACCGACTAAGCCACCCAGGCGCCCCATTAAGTTTGTTTAATCTTATCTGGATGTATCTGAAGATATAATTTAAGTTATAATTTTAGAAAAAACATGTATAATAATATACCATGCTGGATAATATTCGACCCAGAAGTCATGTTTATATATATTCTATGAATTGCTGAACTGATACAGAATCCTGGATTCCCTTAGTCCCTTGCAGGAATTGTTAAGGACATTTAAGGGAACAGCCAGTCATCTACTAAGATATATCCAAGTCTTTTGTGTTAGTAGAGTATATCTCAGAAAAAGCACAATAAATTGAAATTATACTAATGAGAGTTTTCAGTTGTATCCCAAGAATAAGAGGTCTGAAAATCTGAATGTTCCAGCATGTTCTTCTTTGTTAGCCACAAGAATTTTAAGGAGAGAGAGGATGTGTTATTTTCTTAAGACAGCAAATATCTCAGTGCTTTAGCCTTAATTTATAGATTGAGAGTAAGGGGACTGTTATTATTTGTGCTACAAACTACATAAACAGTTTTTAAGCATGCCAACCATAAAATATTTAAAAGATATATGTATATATATATATGGCATGTTTAATGTTTATTTTTCAGAGAAAGAGAGAGAGACAGAAATGGAGACTGAGAGGCAGACAAAGAATCTGAAGGAGGCTCCAGGTCTCAAGCTATCAGCACAAAGACTAATGCAGGGGTTGAACTCATGAACCATGAGATTATGACCTGAGCCTGTCGGACACTTAACCAACTGAGCAATCCAGGTACACCTATATGCGATTTTTAAGTAGCAGATATGTTTGATAGTAAATGGTATATGAACTTTAAACATCTGGGAATCAGACCTCTTAGAAAACAAAAAGAAAAGCCAAAGTATTGCAATTAATTCATCATGTTTTGAATTTTTAATACAAATAATATAAAACTCATTTTTTAGAAATACCATAAAGCAAAAATCAAAGGACAGCTGCTTATAATAATATCTTCTTTCCCAAGTTATCAGAGATAAGAAATTAAGTGAATTTAGGCAAATGAATAGATATAGCTTCTGTCACTGATAGCTTAAAAGAAACAGGACTTACAAATAATTTTAAGAATGTTCTAATTCATCATGAGATCAAGGATTAATTTAAATGTGGAAATACTAGTGTATCTAGATGGCTCTCATATTGATAAAACAATATAACAATAAAATAATATTTATCAGGTAGTATTACAGGCATATTAAATACACTGTTTTTTAGTCTTCAAAACAACTTTAGGTGCTGTTTTTATGTGTAGTTTATTTACAATTGGGGCAACTGAAGCTCAGAGAGATTATGATTAATTTATCTAAGATTCATAACCAGGTATGGAAGTCTTTACCTATTGTTTCTTTCAGTTCTCATGAAGGTCAGCTAAGACTAGGCACAGTGCTGCAAAACAAATGTTTATTCTCTGATCCTTCATTCCCTTCCCACTCCCTCCTTAGCATCTATACCATGTTATGTCAGGTTCCAGGTGACACCAGGTACCAACCAACATTAGAACATAAAGCGACCTGAGAGACATTCTTACTTTCATTAAAACTTACTCATTCCAAGGTATTATGCTAAGTGAAATAAGCCAATCAGAGAAAGACAGATACCATATGCTTTCACTCATATGTGGATCAGGAGAAACTTAACAGAAGACCATGGGGGAGGTGAGGGGAAAACATAGTTACATAGAGGGAGGGAGGCAAACCATAAAAGACTCTTAAATACTGAGAACAAACTGAGAGTTGATTGGGCGTGGGGAGGAGGGGAAAATGGGAGATGGGCATAGAGGAGAGCACTTGTTGGGAATGAGCACTGGGTGTTATATGGAAACCAACTTGACAATAAACTATATTTTTTAAAAAACTCACTCATTCCAGTGTATTTCACAGAGAATATATAGTTGTAGCTTTCTTTCCTATAATTATATTATGAGAGTGGCCTGTTTGTGAAGTCACCTGTGACCACTAACATTATATGGGTAAATTATTCAGAGAGAAGATATGAGATGTAGATTCTTTCTCGGACTGCACATGATAGCATTTTCTGAGAGCGTAGCTGCCCTCTGCCTCTTCCTTTTGTTTTGAAGCCTCGGTCCCTCCCTCTAACTTCAAACTTCCAGATACTACAGATGATGATCAGGACGCTGTCATATAACAAGGGTTCATAGACTCAGGTCCCAGAATTTCTGTTGCCTCAAGCCTTTTAGGATCCAGGATAGAAAACAATTGTTGCATGAAGCTATCACCTCACTGATGCAGATCTGTGAGAAGCACCGTCTAAGAAAGGTGACTGAGGCAATCAAATACCAGGAGTTTGCCAAGTTTTAAAGTGGCTTCTTTTTCAAGTGATACTTAAAGGTGGTCTCAGAACTACTTTATCTTGTCACCTAATCACCATATTTTAGGCACACTCCCCCGTGAAAATTTATGTCAATTTATTTATGAATTCTGCATGTAAAGTAGCCTCATATGATGATTAAAATCTTACAAACAAGTGGAATTTAAGAAGGAAGAGATAAGAACTTATAATTTATTCCAGAATCCATATGTATTCCTTTGTTTATGCCAAAATGAGCACACAATACACTTTGAAGACCACTACTTCAGAGGTCTCAAGAGTTTGGCTTTTTCTCAGAAATTCGTTTTTAACCTAAATGGAGTCTTTTAGAGTCACTTGGGATTGTCCATCCAGCATTACCCTCAGTTTCATGTTATTTACGGAATTATTTTGGATTCACGTTTTGCTTCACGTGGAGATATTAGAAAGGGCTCCAGGCTTTGAAGTCAAAAATATAATATTACCAAAACATACATATGTAAAAATAATGTAGATGTAAAGTTGATACTGGCTCATACATTCTCTGATTCATTCTACAAATACTTGAGGGCCTACCATAAGCCAGACTATATTCTAATTAACGAGGGTCAGGAGTCGAAAGAAAAAAAAACAGTAAAATCTGTGCTCCTATAGAACTCACATCCCATTGGGCAGAAAGAGAAAATAGATAAACACACACAAAATATGCAAAATGACAATAAGTTGTATAAAAGTACAGTTTTCCATGGTTACTTAGGGCACAAATTCTGGAAACAGACTGCCAGGCTTTCAAGCCTGGCATCCCCTCTCTCCACTTACTAGCGTCGCTGTGCGACAATGGACACATTAATAGGTCTTTGAATGTCTGGCCCCTAGACTGTAAGTCACAGATAATAATATCCCAATGTTGTTGTGGGTATTCAATCAATTAGTATTTATAAAAACCCTTAGAACAGTGCTTTTTGGGATAGCTATATTGTAATATACACCAGCTCAGCTCCAATTATAAAAAAAGGGAATAGAGAGCATAAAGGAGAATAGTGTGAAGCTTGGATAATTTTAATAGGTTAGGTTGCTCGTGGAAAATCCTTAGGATAATGAGGGCATACTGTACTTGATCACAAATATCTATTTTTTTTAATGTGTAACATCATGCTAGTTCCCTGGGTTTCTGAAATAGTAGTAATTTCTCCCACTGTGAGTATTAAAATCTCATTCCAAATTTGAACATTAAATTGTGGATTCACTCAACTATAATGGAGAACCTACACCCCGCAAAAAAGACAAAGTTACATAATTATTGTTGATTTTGTGTTAATGGATAAAATATATGCATTAAGCTGCCAGTCAGAATAAGAAATGTATCTTATGATTTCATACTTCAGATAAACTTGAATATAATTTATTTCTTTTCTTTTTAAACATGAAGCATCTTAATAAACTCTTTCTACACGTGCTGATTACAGAAAGAACAAGTCATACAGATCCTTCCCCGCAAAGAAAGTTATCACCTGACAGCATCTATCTTCTAACAAGAAAACCCATATGTTAATAAATCACAATGGACATTGTTAGAGAAAATGTAAGTAAAGACAGTGAGCTAAGTTTGAAGTGGTACAAAATGAGAACACTGGAGTGTTGCTGTGGACCAGACTTAAACTTATCACACATCAAAGTAAATCCTGTGAACTTCCCAGATCCGAATCACAGAACCGAATTTCATTACACTAAGTTCAGGACGTATACAGATAGTCTTCAGATTTGGCTGCTCAAGCTGTATGTTCTTCCATCTCCAATAATCACAGAATTGGAGGTGGCATGAGTATCTGATACACCTTTTCTTTTGTTCCTCTAATTCCGCTAATACCCTTTCACAGACCTTGACCAGAAACACTAAGTGAGATTTAATTACTTGTGCCCCAAATAATACATCTTTCCCTCTTTCGCTGCATGAGAAAGACTAATTAAGCTGTCACTCAGCATAATCTTCATTTTGGATATGTGATGTCTTAGGAATTTTTTACTCAGAATCCAGCTCACTGTCACAGGCCATTAAAAACGACCAGTTTCTAATCTAACTCAAGAATTACAGTCTGTTGTACCCTCCGATATACCACTGTTTTCACAAATCCATGATTTTGTCCAAGTTATACAAGGAATTTTTGAAACGAGAAATTCTTGTTATATAAGCTTTGATACACTTTATGTTGAAACGTATCCAATAAAAGTTTGAAAGAATATTCAAGAAAAATTTGAAAGAAAAATCAGATTACAAATCCTCACTGTCATCATGTAGGGAACTTCTGGTGGGTGTGTGTGTATTTAATTAAGTTTTTTTTTTGTTTTGTTTTTGTTTTTTGAAAGAGGAAAGGGAGAGAGAGGAAGGAGCAGAGAGAATCCCAAGCAGGCTCTGCACTGTTGACATGGGGCTGGATCTCACAAAAGGGAGATCATGACTTGAGACAAAATAAAGAGTTGGCCGCTTAACCAACTGAGGCACCCAGACGCCCTAGAAATTGTGTTTTAAAGGGCACCTTACCTAAGCCAATAGATCAGAATCCTCATCCCACAACTCGCAGCTTGATTATCCCCTCCGGAATTCCAACCCAGGCTAAAGATGTTTCTCCCCAAACATGGCAAGGAAAACAAAACAAAAGAAAACACTGCTTTTTGTTGGTTCCTTGGAACCAAACAGCTTATCTGTTCTCACCTTTAACCACAAAAAAGCCAAAGTGAGACACTAGGCCCACCTGTGTAGTGAAGGTGGGGCGGGAGGAACTAAGGTCCTGTGAGTGGCACAGAAGGAGGCTGGAAGCCCATCAGGCAACTCCAACCCAGGTGCGGCTCCTGTGCAGCATGAGGGCTTGAGTTTGTTTGAAGCAGGAGAGGAGCTGGCAGTTCTAGGAGTAATCTTAGAGGTGGCAGAGAACTTGGTAAAGTTTAAGATGAAGGGGGACAAACCTGTTGTGTGACCTCTAGGACTCCAATAAGCTTCCAGCCTGCTGCTGAGGTAAGAAGACTGTCCTCAGCAGATGTGCACAAAAGATCAGGATCAGTTCTTGGAATCTAAGTATGTGACCAAGCAAGTGGAACTTCTGAGACACCGTACATAGCAGGCAAAGGGTTATGAGCAATTAGATGCCACACCAAGGGAAATGGAGAGGAACATCAAAGCGTTGCTGATGGCAAGACATTATAACTAAAGATTCTAAATCTAACTCAAATAATTGATGCCTAAACACCAATACCGATAATCTCCAGAACCATTAGAGTCATTGAAAATTTTTGGCCAAGGGGGACAGAACCAAGAGAAACGTGACCAGTAGAAATCAGAGCACAATTTTTCATGTCTATCAAAGCATCATGACCTATGGGGAAACAAAAAATGAAAACCACCACATACTCCTGGGTAAACAAATGCATCTCTTTATATAGGAATCTTACAAAAGATGAAAGAACATCTATGAGAACTGGATATCTGCAAAGAGTACCATAAAATTTTGAGGATCAAACAGCAAATATGGATGAAAGTCATTATCAGAAAAAAGCAAAAAGATTTTCTGAGTCAAGAGTGGTTGTGTGAATGAGATGGCTGAGTTCCCAAAGCTGTTTATACTATTCACTTCCTGAGAGGATGGAAGTGTTTAATAAAGACAGAAAAGTCAACAGGGCCAAATATGACAGCAATGGTCTCAAAATTGGTAAATTTTACATGTTATTAAATATGGGGTCACCAAAAAGGATTCTGATAAATCCTACTAGTGATGTAATATGGCACTATGTAGTACACTGAAGCTGACTTTTTGTCTAGTGAATATTCTGTAAACAACTTTCACTAGACTTGCTAAATAAAGATAAGTATACCCAAATCAAAACCACACTGAGATACCACCTCACGCCAGTCAGAGTGGCTAAAATGAGCAAATCAGAGAACTCTAGATGCTGGCGAGGATGTGGAGAAACGGGCACCCTCCTGCACTGTTGGTGGGAATGTAAACTGGTACAGCCCCTCTGGAAAACAGTGTGGAGGTTCCTCAGGAAACTAACAATAGAACTCCCTTATGACCCAGCAATAGCACTGCTAGGAATTTACCCAAGGGATACAGAAATGCTGAGGCATAGGAGCACATGTACCCCAATGTTCATAGCAGCACTCTCCACAATAGCTAAAACATGGAAAGAGCCTAAGTGTCCATCAACAGATGAATGGATCAAGAAGATGTGGTTTATCTATACCATGGAATACTACATGGCAATGAGAAACAATGAAATCTGGCCATGTGTAGCAACATGGATGGACCTTGAGGGTGTTATGCTGAGCGAAATAAGTCAGGCAGAGAAGGACAAATACCATATGTTTGCACGTATAGGAGGATTAGGAGGAACTTGACGGAGGACCAAGGGGGAGAAGAAGGGCGGAAATGGTGGGGGAAAGGGAGAGAGGCAAACCATGAGAGACTCTTGAATGCTGACAAAAACTGAGGACTGATGGATGTGGGGGGGAGGGGGGGATGGGCATGAAGGAGGGCACTTTGGGGATGAGCACTGAGTGTTATGTAAAAACTAATTTGACAATAAACTATTTGTAAAAAAAAAAAAAAAAACATAAACAAAAAAAAAAAAATAAAGATAAGTATACCATCAAAAGGACATAATGATGTCACAAGGCAAAAGGCACTAAACCAAGTCATCAGCATGATACTGTATTTATGAGGACCAAGGAAAGCTAATGCACATAAAGGAACACCACAGAAATCTGATGACAACTTCACTACATCTTAAAGTTATCTAAAAAAATATCCAAAATCAGATCAATAAAAAATTTCTCAGTCATTAAATCAAAATTATGTAAGGAAAAAACTATAGGGTTATTATAGTTTTTATAATTTATAATGACCCTAAAAATAATACCAAAGTTTTGGTAGTCAAGTAGCCAAAGATGATTGATAAAAAGTTTACTTTAAGACTAGCATAGGCATATACACTGAAACATTGATTATAACAGCTAATACCACGTAAATAGCCAATGCTCACTGACTCACTCTGTGTTCAGGGTTTGTGCAAATTCTTTACATGAATGAGCTCATTGAATCCTTACAATAGGCCTAAAAGAAAAAAAGAAAACAAGAAACAAAATAATGATATCATAAACGTGTTCTATGATCTTGGATTCCATTGCAACTCAAATGCCTTCAGAGGCCACAAAATAAATTTCAGATAGCTAACTGAAATGAACACAAATTTAAATTCATGTGTTTTAACAATTGTAGAAAAATAAAAAAATATTTCTAACCTTCAGTAAGTTTTGTCTCTTTAGACAGAAAATTTTCAATTTCTAAAATAAGTAAGAATTTTAGAATTCACTTTATAACATTTTAAGGTAATCATTAACATTAAAACAATTTATCTTAAATCATTCAATTTAGTACTATAAATTGTAGTGGGGGCTTCATACAGAAGGAACACTAATTTAATCTGAGAATGTTTCTCAAAAATGTTTTAAATATTTATTTCATCTTACTTTGGGTATTTCATGATTTAAACAATAAGACACTTGAAAACCATGGTCAAATTTTATCTGTGCATTTCTTTTATTACTTACTACCATGGTTTTCACTTAAGGTGATTCCCAAGAAGTGTTTTAGAAAAATGTTGAAGTAGTTTTTAGTTATCACATGCATTAAAGATTTGTAGTGGCTTTAACTAGGTGAAGATAATTTTGCTAGATGCAATTCAATACATGGATAACTTCTATGTGATTAAGAATTGTCCTCCATCCAGTCTGACCTTCCAACATCCCCCCATTCAGGTGAAAAAAAAAAAAAAGGACTGTAATTGTTGGAGGAAAAACATACATCTCTTTACATTATTGCCAGTTAGAATATAAATTGAACTTATTATTTTTTTCTTTCATAGTTTTTGTCAAGTTGCTTTCCATATAACACCCAGATCTCATCCCAACAATTGCCCTCCTCCATGCCCATCATCCCCTTTTCACTCCCCCACCCCCATAAGCCTTCAGTTTGTTCTCAGTATTCAAGAGTCTCTCATGGTTGCCTCCCTCCCTCTCCCCCACTATTTTTCCCCTTCTCTTCCCCCATGGTCCTCTGTTAAGTTTCTCCTGTTCCACTTATAAGTGAAGACATATGGTATCTGTCTTTCTCTGCCTGACTTATTTCACTCAGCATAACATCCTCAAGTTCCATTCATGTTGCTACACATGGCCAGATTTCATTCTTTCTCATTGCCATTTAGTATTCCATTGTGTAGATAGACCACATCTTCTTGATCCATTTGTCAGTTGATGGACACTTAGGCTCTTTCCATGTTTTGGAAAGCTATTGTTGAAAGTGCTGCTATGAACATTCAGGTACATGTGCCCCTATGTGTCAGCACTCCTGTATCCCTCGGGTAAATTCCTAGCAATGCTGTTGCTGGGTCATAGGAGAGTTCTATTGTTAGGAGAGTTCCTCTATTGTTTTGAGGAACCTCCGTACTATTTTCCAGAGAGATTGCACCAGCTTACATTCCCACAGTGTAGGAGGGTGCCCGTTTCTCCACCTCCTCACTAGCATCTAGAGTCTCCTGATTTGTTCATTTTAGCCACTCTGACCGGCATGAGGTGGTATCTCAGCGTGGTTTTGATTTGTACTTCCCTATTGAGGAGGGATGCTGAGCATTGTTTCATGTGTCTGTTGGCCATCTGGATGTCCTCTTTGGAGAAGTGTCTGTTCATGTCTTCTGCCCATTTCTTCAATGGATTATTTGTTTTTCAGGTGTGGAGTTTGTTGAGTTCCTATAGATTTTGGATACTAGCCCTTTATCTGATATGTCATTTGCAACTATCTTTTCCCATTCTGTCGGTTGCTTATTAGTATTATTGTTTCCTTTGCCATGCAAGGAAACATTTTATCTTGATGAGGTCCCAATAGTTCATTTTTGCTCTTGATTCTCTTGCCTTTGGGGATGTGTCAAGTAAGAAATGTCTGCGGTTAAGGTCAAGAGGGTTGTTTCCAGCTTTCCCCTCTAGCGCTTTGATAGTTTTTTGTCTCACATTCAGGTCCTTCATCCATTTTTAAGTTCATTTTTTGTGTATGGTGTAAGAAAGTGATCTAGTTTCATTCTTTTGCATGTTGCTGTCTAGTTCTCCCAGCACCATCTGTTAAAAGGCTGTCTTTTTTCCATTGGATACTCTTTCCTGCTTTGTCAAAGTTTAATTGGCCATACATTTGTGGGTCCAATTCTCAGTTCTCTATTCTATTCCATTGGTCTGTGTGTCTGTTTTTGTGCCAATACCATACTGTCTTGATGATGACAGCTTTGTAGTAGAGGCTAAAGTCTGGGGTTGTGATGCCTCCCATTTTGGTTTTCTTCTTCAATATTACTTTTTGGCTATTTGGGGTCTTTTGTGGTTCCATACAAATTTTAGGATATTTTGTTCTAGCTTTGAGAAGAATGCTGGTGCAATTTTGATTGGGACTGCATTGATTGTGTAGATTGCTTTGGGTAGTAATGACATTTTAACAATACTCATTCTTCCAATCCATGAGCATGGAATGTTTTTCCATTTTTTGTGTCTTCTTCAATTTCCATCATAAGTTTTCTATAGTTTTCATCATATAGATCTTTTACATCTTTGGTTGGATTTATTCCTAGGTATTTTATAGGTTTTTTTCTGCAATTGTGAATGGGATCAGTTTCTTGATTTCTCTTTCTGTTGCTTCATTGTTGGTGTATAAAAACGCAACCAATTGCTTTACATTGATTTTGTAACCTGAGACTTTGCTGAATTCATGGATCAGTTCTAGTAGGCTTCCGGTGGAGTCTGTCAGGTTTTCTGTGTAGAGTATCATGTCGTCTGCAAAAAGTGAAAGTTTGACTTCTTTGCTAATTCTGATGCTTTTTATTTCCTTTTGTTGTGTGATTGCTGATGCTAGGACTTCCAGCACTATGTGAAACAACAGTGGTGAGAGTGGACATCCCTGTCGTGTTCCTGATCTCAGGGGGAAAGCTCTCAGTTTTTCCCCATTGAGGATGATATTAGCTGTGGGCTTCTCATAAATGGCTTTTATGATGTTTAAGTTCCATACATCCCAATTTTGTCAAAGGTCTTTATTAAGAAAGGATGTTGTATTTTGTCAACATAGATAGATGCTTTTTCTGCATCTATCGATAAAATCATATGGTTTTTATCTTTTCTTTTGTTAATGTGATGTATCACATTAATTGTTTTGTGAATACTGAAACAGCCCTGTAACCCAGGAATGAATCCCTCTTGATCTTGGTGGATAATTCTTTTTATATGCTATTGAACTCAACTTGCAAGTATCTTGTTGAGAACTTTTGCATCCCTATTCATCAAGGATATTGGCCTGTAGTTCTCTTTTTTTGTTGGGTCTCTCTCTGGCTTGGGAACTAAAGCAATGCTGGCTCTGTAGAATGAGTCTGGAAATTTTCCTTCCATTTCTATTTTTTGGAATAGCTTGAGAAGAATGGGTATTAACTCTGATTTAAATGTCTGGTAGAATTCCCCAGGGAAGCCATCTGGCCCAGGGCTCTTATTTGTTGGGAGACTTTTGATAACTGATTCCATTTCTTCACTAGTTATGGGTCTGTTCAAATTTTCTTTCTCTTCCCATGTGAATTTTGGTAGTGCCTGTGTATTTAGAAATTTGTCCATTTCTTCTAGGTTGTCCAGTTTGTTGGCATATAATTTTTCATAGTATTCCTTGATAACTGCTTGTATTTCTGAGAGATTGGTTGTAATAAACCTATTTGAATTGATAATTTGTTTATTTGGGTGCTCCCTCTTTTCTTTTTGAGAAGCCTGGCTAGAGGTTTATCCATTTTATATACTTTTTCAGAAAACCAACTTATGGTTCCATTGATCTGTTCAACTGTTTTTTTGGGTCCTATATTGTTTGTTTCTGCCCTGTTCTTTATTATTTCTCGTCTTCTGCTGGGTTTGGGGCGCTCTTGCTGCTCTGCTTCTAGTTCCTTTAGGTGCGCTGTTAGATTTTGTATTTGCGCTTTTTCTAGTTTCTTGATATAGGCCTGGAGTACAATGTACTTTCTTCCTAGGACTGCCTTTGCCACATTCCAAAGTGTTTGGATCATTGTATTTTCATTTTCATTTGTTTCCATTTATTTTTAAATTTCTTCTCTGATTGCCTGATTGGCCCCTTCCTTCTCTAGTAGAGTGTTCTTTAACCTCCATGTTTTTAGACGTTTTCCAGACTTTTTCCTGTGATGGATTTCAAGTTTCATAGCATTGTAGTCTGAAAGTGTGCATGATATGATCTCCATTCTTTTATATTTATTGAAGGCTGCTTTAGGAGCCAGTATGTGATCTATCTTGGAGAATGTGCCATATGCACTTGAGAAGAAAGTGAATTCCATAGCCTCAAGATGCAGAGTTCTAAATATATCTGTCAAATCCATCTGGTCCAATGTGTCATTCAGGTCCATTGTTTCTTTAGTGATTTTCTGTCTAGTTGATCTATCCATTGCTGTAAGTGGAGTATTAAAGTCCCTGCTACTACCACATTATTTTCAATAATATTGTTTCTGTTTGTGATTGTTTTATGTATTTGGGTGCTCTGAAATTCAATGCATAGACAATTATAATTGTTAGCTCTTCCTGATGGGTAGACCTTGTAATTAGTATAGAATGCCCTTCTTCATCCATTACTGCCTTTACTTTAAAGTCCAGTTTGTCCGAGATAAGTATGGCTACTTCTGCTTTTTTTGACATCCAGTAGCATGATAGATGGTTCTCCAACCCCTTACTTACAATCTGAAGGTGTCCTCAGGTCTAAAATGAGTCTCTTGCAGACAGCAAACTGATGGAATTTGTTTTTTTTTATCCATTCTGATACCCTATGTCTTTTGATTGGAGCATTTAGTCTGTTTACATTCAGTGTTATTATTGGAAAATATGGGTTTAGAGTCATTGTGTTCTCTGCAGGATTCATGCTTGTAGTGGTGTCTCTGGTAGCTTGTGTTCCTTGCAACATTTCCCTCATAGTGTCCCCCTTAGGATTTCTTGTAGGCTGGTTCAGTGGTAATGAATTCTTTTGATTTTTATTGATTTGGGAAAACTTTG